ACAATAGAAAACAATTATTCTAAATTGTAAAAATGATAATAATTATAATAAAATAAATATTTCAGAATGTTAAAATTTTTACTGTACTTTTGATTAAATAAATGCAGTCTTGGTGAGCATAAGAGACTTCAAAAACCTTTTAAAAAAATTACCGACCCAAATTTTGAACTGTAGTACTTTTACAACATCGGCAATCCTGACATTCAGATTGACTCTTTAAGACGCAGAAAGCACACTTATGCCCTCCATATCTGTATATATGCCCAGTTATAATGCTCTTTCAATAGAAAATGAATGATCAATAGAAAATGAAAACAAACATATATTTTATAAATTTAAATTCCGCAGTCTAGCACAACATTAATTGCACCAGGTAAACAGTTTTGTGAATAAGGTGCAATACATAATTAGAGTAATTTACATATAGAAAGAAGGTGAGATTGCTCTGAAAACATAAACAATGAATTAACTTTACAGTTTAAAGTGAATTGCAGGTGGTTTGCAAACATATCACAGGTTTTCTGCTGAAAAACCACATGCAACTGTGACTCAACTGTAAATGCCCCTTTAAATGTTGTTCTTCAAGACCACATAGACCTTAATCAGGCTAGCGCAATATATATATATTTTTGTCTGGAATGAAAATGAGGATGTGAGGGACAGCAATACAAAATGAAAAAAGCTTTCAGTAGACAAAACAGTCTATAAAATAGTTTTGAAAGTTGTGATTTGTGAAAATTACACGATCTAGGACCTTTATACAGTGTGTGTCATTGTAAAGACTGTAAGTCTATCACTCACAGCCTCATTTTTGTCCACTCTTGTTTTTCAGTGTGAGTTCACTGAAAAACAAGAGACAACTGAAACAACTATAATAGTAAGACAGGGCGAAAACTGTAAAGTGTTTGTGTGTGTACACTTGATTTCATTAATTTGCCTCCTGTGAGTTGTGAGCCGTTCATCTTCTCCTCGACTCTTTATTCAACGTGTTTATCCCTTCTGAATGTCAATGAGGAATATCATAAACATTCATTATTTAGAGCAGAATACAACTACAATTAAATGTAGGCAATTCAGTGAACTCAGTTAACAGTTGTTCTGTCCTAGAAAAGTTACTCATATTTTTGGAAATCTATATATATATATTTAATTTTAATCTTTTTCAACATCCAAACACTGTAGTACAGATGGCAATAAACAATAAGAGTGAAGTTCACACTGAATTTGTGATGAATCCGCATCTCAAGACTCAACAAAGTTTGTTTTCAAAGCCCTTGGAAACAGATTTAATCATATTTCACCTTCAAATCTCATTTTAAAACACATAAAAGGGTAAATAAAGTGCAGTGACCGAAAAGGAATACACATGTTTGAAAAAAAAAAAGCAAAAAAAGAAAGTGTTTGATTTACATTCAAAACACGTTTTTAATATTGGGCCAAAATTTATGAGCACAAAATACAGTGAAGAATGAATAGTCTTTTTATGCCCCTCACTCTCCTCAGATGTTTAGCTTTTCTCCCAGAGTTCGTAAGCTTTATAAGACCTCTCTGCTTTTCCAAATGAGAGTAGAGGTGCCAGAGGAATGAGTCCTAACCAAAGCACTGACCTCATCCTTTATGAAGATGTTCTATTTCATGGTAAATTTGATCCAAAAGCCTCAAAGCCTGCCTCTACCCATTCTAGTCAAAAATTGATAGAAAATGGACAGAAAATAAAGAAATAAAAAGACAGACAGGGAGATGTAGCAACATATGTCCTTACTTTTCTTCACAGGAAATAAATCAACTCCCCTGGACTGTGCCAAATGTCAATGTCACTAAAATTGGTGAGAAATAACATGGGAAGTGAACGAAGGCAAAGACAGTGCTTGGGTTTGATCTCCCAAATAAAGATATGCAATATCCCAAATAAACACATTTGCATGTGTTCATCATTTCATGTTTAATTTGAATGATTTTCAAACTCATTTCATGAGCCAATTTAATTTGAGTGTTATAATACTGGAGTTATGATGACAAGAAAATCTAGGACATTATTTTTGACCTCTTATATAACGGAATAATATCTCAACCTCACAGCAATCTTACAAACGCATTGCATAGAATTTATAAGAAAATATATCTTTGTTTTCGTTTAAGAAATCTTCTCTCCTTCAGAACAAAAACACAAAAAATGTTCATGCTAAGCACCTCATACTACTGTATATTAGCCCATTCAGAATTTGCTGTCTAGAATCCGGTCAGGTTCTTCCATATTTTGAATGTTTATGAGGGCATATGTGGCTCGGATATCTTTTTAAAAGTCTTTGTCATCCAAAAACAAAGCTGAGCTTTTCAACTAAGAGGTATGCTTCAGTTATTACAGACGTGATCAATTTATTTTTCACCTTTTATCTTCTGTTGTCAAACATACATCATGTCTCTCGCAACTGAAGAAAATGCTGTCAAAATTTTCAAACGACAATGTTTCATGTGTTATAATGAGGTTGATGACAGCCATAAACACAAGTGTTATTGGATTACTGTTTGCAAACCTCTTTGGAATTAGATTTTTACATGAATGGCTCCTAAATTTGTGCATGTTGTTTATGAATTAGAACTATTATGAATGTCTGATTATTACTTAATGTATTACTATGAAAATATATTTTAGGAGCTATTCTTGTATAACTATTTTTTTTTCTCCAAATGCAAATAATTCCAAATGGGTCAAAAACTGTTTCTCATGACTGTATATACTTTTCCCTATTAATGGTTATTCAACATTGGCAGTTTACTTTTCATTCACTGTGAAAACATTTTGTAGAAACGACCCTCTAAATCATATTTTAATTTACCCAAGTGCAGTGGTGCATGGACCGAAACACTGAAAACAGTAAATAATGCAACAATGACGATTAATAATGAACTTGCAGTATTGATTTCTGCACTACATCATGTGGAGGGAATAAAAAAGACGCAAACACACAAAGAAATTTTAAATAAAATAAGCACAATCACAGAGCTGGGAAAAGATTACGGCACCTCTTTTTGACTGGCAGGATCAATTTTAGTTAAGACCTAAACACAATCCAACAATTAAATTTGGTTGATAACAGTTAAATTAAAAAGAAAGAAAGAAAAAAAAATAACATTAACTCACCATAGTACATGCACTGCAAAAAATGGCTTATCTTACTTAGTATTTTTGTCTTGTTTCTAGTAAAAATATCTTAAATCAAGAGACTTTTACTAGGTAAGCCAAGTGACTTAAGATATTTAGTCTTGTTTCCAGGGGAAAAAAACTAAATTAAGTGCATTTTGCTTAAAACAAGTACAATTATGTGCCAGTGGGGTAAGTAATATGCTCTTGTTTTAAGAATATTTTACTTACCCCACTGGCAGATCATTTTACTTGTTTTAAGCAAAATGCACTTAATTTAGTTTTAAGACTAAATATCTTAAGTCATTTGGCTTATCTAGTAAAAGTATCTTGATTTAAGAATTTTTTGATATTTTGACTAGAAACAAGACAAAAATACTAAGTAAGATAAGCCACTTTTTGCAGTGTGTAAACATGTCCATGAGACCTAAGCAATAAAAAAGAAATGTTATCAAGCATTCTTGAATACAAAATTCTTAAAATAAACTTTCTCTTTTTATTATTATTTATTAATGTTGTTATATACATGGCATAATCTTGTGCTTTTTTTTCCAAAAAGAAACATCCAAGAGGAAAGTAAGTTTCTGTTTATCGTAGTATCTTTTTGACCCTTGAACTAAAAGAGAGGAGCGGGTTTGTTCGTTCAGTTTTCCTAGCGGAGGATAGTCTTACTGCACGTGGAGGGACAGTAGCAGGTGATGTGCTTTACTAACAGTAGCAAAGGCACCTTTGTATCTTCTTTATAAAAACACGTGCTCGTTTGCGGGTCGCCGTGTGTGTGCTCATTCACGAGTGCAGTCCAGCGTCCCAGGCGGCACACATTCACAATCCTCCACTGAGTCAGACGCTCATACAAAAATAAGAAGAACAAAACACACAAAAATTAGAGTTTCTGCTCCATTTACAGATTGGGAAGATGCGGCTTCAACTGAGCCAAGATACATCTAATGATTCCTGATTTCTGCTTGAGAGGACAAAGGGGAAGAGGAAGATGGGAAAGAGGAGAAATTGAAAGAGGAAGAGAATAGACAAGAGAAAGAACAAGGAAGACAAAGAAAAAAATTACAAAAAAGGGAGAAAGTGATAGCCAGTGTGAGAAAGACATGGGGACAGACAGACAGACAGATAGATGCTTTTATGATAGACATCTAGCTAGCTGCAGTAGATAGCTAGACAGACTGACTGACACACAGATAAACTAGGGTGAGCATACGTGGCCTTTTTCCCGGACACGTCTTGGCCAGGATTTCTTCATTGCCTAAAATAATGTGTTCAACCGATTGTGTATGACACCAAAGTACCATGAGAGCTATAGGGAGCAGATGGCTCCTTATGCTTTTGAATCGCTCTTGCGGTACTTTGATGTCATACACAGATGTGCAGCGTCAATCAAGTCGAGCACACCTAATATATGCATGTTTTTGGATCGCTTTAACGGTTCTCTGTAGATCCCTTCTTCTCATGCGCCACGATTGGTCGATTAAGTACAATGCCTGCATGTTATTGGTCAAGCAAGTATGAAAACAGGAAAACAAAGCCAAAACCTGGATATTTTAGGCAATATAGAAATCCTGGCCAGGACGTGTCCGGGAAAAAGAGCACGTATGGTCACCCTAGATAAATAGACAGACAGATAGATGCCTTTATGATAAACAGCTAGCTAGCTAGACAAATTGACTCACTGACAGATGGTTGCTTTTATGATAGACAGCTAGATAGATTGCTAGACTGACTGGCTGACTGACTGACTGTCATACAGTTGCTTTTATGATAGACAGCTACCTAGATAGATAGATAGATAGATAGATAGATAGATAGATAGATAGATAGATAGATAGATAGATAGATAGATAGATAGATAGATACTGAATAGACCAATGGATGGGGGAGTGAACAGTCAGATGGATGGGTGGTTAAAAAAAGCTTAACTGAAAAGTCTTGAGCTAGGAAAGAGGTCAGAGGAGAGGAGGAAGGGAAGGAGTGGGAGTGGAAAGGAGAAGGAAGGCCTTTCTGGTGCTGGGTGGTCCATGGCCCACCCACCTTTCTCAGCTCCAGAGACACACACTGTTGGTGGTCTGGCAGGTGGAGGAGCTCTCTGCCGGAGACAGATACAACTTGCCGCTGGGACATACGCACACCTCGTACACAGTCTGCTTGTGGTACGTGGTCCCTGGACCGAGCAAAGTGTCCACGCTCCCGTGTGGAAGATTTCCAAGACGGATTGAGTTTGCGTTTAGAAAGATCTGAGAGGAGGAGAGAAGAGTGAACGATAAAACAAGACATACAGTATAATCAAAGACTTCAGATAAATCAACACAATAACAGTCATTTAGGATTAAGCTGCATTTACTCAAAAACTAACACAACACTGATGAAAGACTGCATTATTGTGTGAGACATACACAGTTAAACAGTGTTGTCTTGAGTGGCTAAGACACATCACTCAACACATTTCCCAGCTTTAGACGACCCCCACAGTCTGTTTACTGACTATCTGATGCTAACACACAAAAAGGTAAGTACTTTCCCAGTCTTGCAAGCTCAATAGCTGGCTTTACACAGCTTCCGGAAGTTAAGATTCACAGGTTTTAACCAGTCTGCCTGGACACACTGGATTTGTTCAAGTTTGCAAGGATAGTGGCATCAGATCTTTGAAAGATACTCAGTGGCTGGTTCTTGGCCAGAAAAAAATGTGACAGATAGCAGATTCTTGGTCAGAATAAGAGGGTGCGTTTTAAGCATGAAAAGAAAGTCCTAAAAAAAAAATCCCATCACAGTTTAAATTCAGCCACATCTAAAAATGATGTAATGTGTTTAATGTTTAATTCCGTGGTGGAACTGATGGTGGCAGAAGTGACATCTTAAATAAAATACAGTTAAATAATATTTTCACACTTTTTGCATATTTGATTTGACAGCTTAATTAGAAATAACACACAGTAACACTGTTCTGCTTAAGTGATTTTCTTTTCTTTTTTTTTTACCTTGATTTTGCTTTGTTTTATTCACATATCACATCTCTTATTTCTATCTCAGGCTCTTTGGTAACCAGGTGCATTAATATTAGACAATACCTTTATATATAACCTATATGATTATCTACAAATGGCTGTCGATTTAACATGTAAATTTGGTGTGATTAATTATGGAAAAAAGATCAGGATAGCCTGCTCCAGCCCAGACCTCTATGCCATCTTACATTGAATACAGTTACTGATGAACATGATGCAAGATGATGAATGACTGCATGATATAGCCTGCAAGAATGCAGCTACAAACCCATACAATTCAAGATATGAGGGCAAAAATGGCCCTATGTGGCTTTTAGTCTAATTTTTATATTATATGATATAATTGAACAATATCACATGCGGCAAGAGTGCTATTTTTCCCTAAATATCTGCATGATTTCAAATGGGATATTGATTTTATACAACAGTTCAATAAACAAGAAGTACCTTGATTTTGCTTTGTTTTATTCACATATCACATCTCTTATTTCTATCTCAGGCTCTTTGGTAACCAGGTGCATTAATATTAGACAATACCTTTATATATAACCTATATGATAATCTACAAATGGCTGTCGATTTAACATGTAAATTTGGTGTGATTAATTATGGAAAAAAGATCAGGATAGCCTGCTCCAGCCCAGACCTCTATGCCATTTTACATTGAATACAGTTACTGATGAACATGATGCAAGATGATGAATGACTGCATGATATAGCCTGCAAGAATGCAGCTACAAACCCATACAATTCAAGATATGAGGGCAAAAATGGCCCTATGTGGGTTTTAGTCTAATTTTTATATTATATGATATAATTGAACAATATCACATGCGGCAAGAGTGCTATTTTTCCCTAAATATCTGCATGATTTCAAATGGGATATTGATTTTATACAACAGTTCAATAAACAAGAAGTTAATATTGTGATACATTTTAGACACAGTATCATCAGTATTGTCTGTTTTTGCTAAATTTTGCAAACAAAAATTGTTTCAAACAAAGTCTCAGCAGAACCTTTCTGCCTTTCTGAGACACAGACAGCGGTGTTTCATTACTGAAAGAATCCATGTTTTCAAACAAGTCTAGTGATCCAATGATTCAGTGACTCATTCATTCAGTCTTTCAATATTCACTGAATGACTCATTCATTAAGATTCTGACTTGCCGCCGCTTACTGGAGGTTTTAATTTCATATTAAGAGTATCATCTTTTTAATTTTTTTATTTTTTTTAAATCATTTCATATGTCAATTTTTTTTTTCAAACCCATTAATCTCATATTATTATTTATGCAATTCTAATTGCAGTGTAAATACATTCATGCCACCTCTAACCTGTCTATGTAAATATATGTAAATGCCACTTCAGACTCTGAAAACAATGTAATGGTCACACTATAGCCTTAAAAGTTTAAGTTTAGTACATTTTGACTCAATATATTCTTCTAAAGCTACTTTTTGTTATCTCTATTCAATGTTTTTTTCTCAACTGACACAATTACGACCTTATCTTTTGGGGGCAAGCGCTTACTGGAGGTTTTAATTTCATATTAAGAGTATCATCTTTTTAATTTTTTTATTTTTTTTAAATCATTTCATATGTCAATTTTTTTTTCAAACCCATTAATCTCATATTATTATTTATGCAATTCTAATTGCAGTGTAAATACATTCATGCCACCTCTAACCTGTCTATGTAAATATATGTAAATGCCACTTCAGACTCTGAAAACAATGTAATGGTCACACTATAGCCTTAAAAGTTTAAGTTTAGTACATTTTGACTCAATATATTCTTCTAAAGCTACTTTTTGTTATCTCTATTCAATGTTTTTTTCTCAACTGACACAATTACGACCTTATCTTTTGGGGGCAATTTCTCAGTCCAAACTGATGTACAATTAATTTGCAATTAGTTTGATTAATTAATCAGCACATCATGTAATTAATTAACCTATTTATTTATATCGATCTAATCTTCACACACACACACACATACACACACACACACACACACACACATATATATATATACAGTGTATATACTGTAGTTGCCCTCAACGTATGTTTATAATAAATAAATAAATAAATAAAAATAAATAAATAATAATAAAAAAGCATTTGTTTTAATAAAACACAAGCCCTGGGACATAAAAGTTCCCAAACTTGAAGAAATACCTAAGATGCGAGATGATATTAAAAACTCTGACTGTGTAAGATTACCATGACACAATCCTGGCACATTAATTCCTCCTGAAGTACACAAATTAAATTTTCAGATATGGACCAGGAGAGAGAACATCACCAGGGACATAAACTACATTTCATTAAAAGCCTGTTTGCCCTTTGATTTATAAATATGTTGATTCCTGTATTTATCAGTTCCAAAAAGTCTGTTGGCTCTGACAGCTAGGAAAGGCCAAATATCTTTACCATAACTCACACGCTGTGGGAGAGTGACAAAAACAAAGGAGGAAGAGAGAGAGAAAACACCAACAAGGAAGAACTAATTACTGTAAGTAATGGTATCTGAGGTGTTGACAGGGCATATCTCTATAAACACTTGCACAAACAAGCCCCATGATGCTTTGCTGTCAGCTGGACAATGCACAGCCACTTTCCCTATCTGTATCTCACTTTGTTTCTCACGGTTTGTTTCTCTCGGCTTTTGCTGCATCAGTTTTTCATTTTGCCCATTCCAAGTCCCCTGCAAACTTTAATATAACACTTATCAAAAGCAAACTTGATTTTTATACAATCAACATGCACACACAGTCCTCAGATGAACTGCCATATCTGACAGAATTAGGGCTGGACAATTAATCGAAATTAAATCGCAAAGGCGATAAATCACGATTAGGCAAAAGCTGTGATTCTCATGCGTATCTTTCAGTAAAGCACGGTTCTGTGATCAGCAGTAAATCTCCATCCGAAGACCAGAGGGCGCTCTCGTGCTGAAACTCCAAATATGCTTCGCAGAAGAAACCCAGGAACTCCCTATAGCGGTTGCTGAATAAACAAAAGATTTAACTGCTTTGATTAGTTCTACGTGACTAATAAACACACGACTACGACAATATATGGTTTATCTGAGTTAGTCTTATTATCATTTTTATTATAATAAAGTAGATAATAATGCAATGCTAATCGACATAGCCTTTATCACTGCTTAGAATACTATGAAATATGTTGCGTGCCTTATTCTGTGTAAGAAGCCACATCATCTCAGAAGGATTTATTTCAAACACTCGACTGACGTTATGAAGTGAGTTTGGAGTAAAAACATGTTATTAAATGTGGTATTTTCACATGCTTTCTGATGGAGCAGCATTTACTACACAGAGCCGTAGTTCACTGACAAGCTACACAAAATTGCATTTATAATCGCAGACGATTTAATCGCGCGATTATGAAATCGAAGAAATCGTTCTGCGATTATGAAAGCTGTTTGCGTAGCTTGTCAGTGAACTACGGCTCTGTGTAGTAAATGCTGCTCCATCTGAAAGCACGTGATTTAAATTTACTACTAATCACAGAACCGGGTTTACTGACAAGATGCGCATGACAATCGCATTCGATTAATCGTGCAGCCCTGTTTAGAATTAAATGCAAATTGATGCTCTAATGCACAGCATAATGTTTAATGTTCTACAACCAGCATTAAATATACACAAAGACATTTCAAGAAATGATGTATGTGTGTTCCTCTAAGTGGAGTACATATCAATAGGAGAAATGTAAAGGAAAATCCTTGGTGGATAAATAAATGCAAACATTTATCAGAATAGGTAATGGGTCTTCAAAACGAGATGGGGGGGGGGGGGG